CTCTTCATGGAAATGCTTATAGAGGCTATAAAGTGGCAACCGCTATAAAGAAATGTCTTATATACAAACTGGAAAGGAATATGCAAAAGTGAAAGCAGTTGTGTTAAAATGGTGGCCCTCTACCTACCTTTTGTCCGGTTTTCTAAGTACAGCTAAATTACAAACAGAAGATGTAATATGAATCTACTTACGTAAAAAGATGGATGTATACATGTTATCAATATGCACGAAAATTTTCATTTAAAGAGTTTACATGAAATCTAACAGTGGCTCCTTTAGGGAGAGAGTGACTTAGAGGTTAGGAGAAGAGGCAGAGAAGATTTTTTATCTTTCTATTCCTGATAGAATTCTGTATGTCTTATCCTCCAAATCAAAAACCAGATGAAAATAAAAAACTTAAGATTGAAAGATGCCATCCCAGCAAGCACCAAAAGTCCGGGTTACATCACACAGTAATCTCGGGGATCTCGCTGTTGCACAACTGCTCTAAGACCAGCCAGTTGACATGCTGGATTGTTTTAAGAACTAGCTATTAAAAAGAAGGTAGCTTTATGCTACTACAGTTGTTCCCAGCCTCCAGTTACTACCAGGCATCTTGGCAGACACCTGTAGAGATGTGGGCGTGGCAGGGCTAGGTGTGCTTACAGCGAGATGGAATTGGGCCTGCAAAGGTTTCTTCTAACTAGATATCTCCAACTTCCTCATTAAATCTTTAAAAAGTGCCACTGTTCACTGACACCGAAACCAACTGCAACAAAAGCAAAAATTGACAAGTGGGATCTAATTAAGAGCTGCTCCACAGCAAAAGAAACCATTAACAGAATAAAGAACCTACAGAATGGGAGAAAATATTTGCAGACTATGCATCTGACAAAGGTCTAATACTCAGCATCTATAAGGAACTTAATTTTACAAGAGAAAAGCAAGCTCCCTTCATTAAAAAGTGGGCAAAGGACACAAACAGACACTTCTCAAAAGACATGCGTGTGGCCAAGCAGCATACGTAGAATAGCTCAATATCACTAATGATTAGAGAAATGCAAATCAAAACCACAATGAGATACCGTCTCACATCAGTCAGAATGGCTATTAAAAAGTCAAAAACTATCAGATGCTGGTAAGGTTGCAGCACTCCTGTTGGTAGGAGTGTGTATTAGTTCAACCGCTACGGAAAGCAGTATGAGATTCATCAAAGAGCTAAAAGCAGAACTACCATTTGACCCAGCAATCCCATTACTGGGTATATACCCAGAGAAATATAAATCATTCTACCATAAAGACGTGCATGCAAATGTTCCCTGCAGCACTATTCACAATAGCAAAGACATTGAATCAACCTAAATGCCTGTCAATGACAGACTGGGTAAAAAAAAATGTAATATATATATATATATATATATATATATATATATACACACCATGAAATACTATGCAGCCATAAAAAATGAGATATTTTTTACAAGAATATGGATGGAGCTGGAGGCCATTATCCTTAGCAAACTAATGCAAAAACAGAAAACCAAATACTGCATGTTCACACTTGTAAGTGGGTCTATTTGGGGAGGGTGGGAGGAGGGAGAGGAGCAGAAAGGATTAACTTTTGGGTACTGAGCTCAGTACCTGGATGATAAAATAACATGTACAATAAACCTCTGTGACAAGTTTACCTGTGTAACAAAACCTTCACATGTATCCCCAAACCTAAAAGTTAAAAAAAGCAAACCGTAAAATTACCAAAGCTAATCAGATAGTCTCCGTTATCTCTAAACCTTAGTTCTACCTATACATGAAACACATTTTTCTAAGAGTAAATATTTATTTCTTTATATATACAAAAATATCTTACCAGGAGTATGTAATCTCATGGATTAGACATTTCAATTATTTTTGTTTTGGACAGCACATGGAATTATGTGAAAAGGTTTATAGGGTCAGTTTCTGAAAAATCAATACTTAATTGTACTGCAGGAAAATTTTATTTATACAACAACAGCAATAATGTTTCTTTTATACAGAAACCAGTTATACAATTACCTGGAAAGCAGTAGCAATTAGTTTTTATTTTTAAACTTCTTAATCAGAAACTTAATCAGCTTGTTCAGCTTTGATTTTCAGATTGCTAACAAGCATTCTGCCCTCCTTTTTAAAAATTCTCTTCTACAGTCACTTCAAAGACTAGAGGTTAAAAAAAGCATGCATCTGTGTTCAAAGAAAAGATTTACCAAAATGAACTGGCGGGGGTGGAGGAGGAATAACAAATTCCCACAGCAAGGTTTCACCTCAAATACTCATCATAGGCTCTAACAGAGCTCAACATAACATGGAGAAGTTGCACTTGTTGCTCAAAGCTAGTGCTCATTCTTTTACAACACTGTCCAAGATACTACTTCTTTTTAAAGAAAAAATCAATGTTACTGAAGAAACAGGAGCCAGTCAGCAGTTCTTTTTAAAAGAGGATACAGAGACATAAGAAATATTTATGTTGCATTTCAAATACAGATGTAGCTAAGCTTATGGCTGAAATCTGATTCTACCTGAAACGATGGAGGCATTTCTCATTTGGACCATGTTTACCAGGACAAGCCTCATGCTTTAAAGCAATGTTACTTACACTACTGTCCACCTCTGCTATTCAAGGGTAAGATGAAAACCACATATATCTGGTAATGACTTCTGATTTAACATTGGTAATTTACAGCTGATGAGTTTCTACATACATCAGATGAGTATACTTTTTTCCTGTTTAAGGCTTCCTCCAAGCTCCCAGGACACTTTGATAGGAGGAGAGCCAAATTTCATATATGGCCTGTCACATTTATACCTGTTCCTACCGCTGGCTTGCTGTTGGCTGAAGTACAATAAAGACAGCTATTTCTAGTTTTAAGACCTTTTTGGCTTCTGTTCTGTGTTAGCAATACCACCTATTTCATGGGATTCAAAAACAGTTGTTTTACAAGCAGTAAATCACTCAATCTTCTGATTTTATAAGGGGCATTTACTTTAACTAAAGATGTGTTCATTCTATTTAAAGAGCCAGGAGGGGAAAAATGAAAGGAAGAGAACTATCCCTTCTGACCAACTTTTGTATGTGACAATAAGTCAAATTTATCACACCACTCCCTTATTAGCCAATGACTGAGAAGCAATTAGAAAGTAATAACTAAAGTGGATTAATATCTGGATTTTGAGGTTCACTAACTAGACCTTACTGTGAATGTTTCTTTCTATAAAGAAATAGAGGCTTTTTAAAATTAATGGTATGGGTCAAAAAAAAAAAAAAAAAAAAAATAGGCCTGCAGTGATTTCAGACATAAGGACAATAAAGTAGGGCAGTTTTTCGGGGCAAAGCTCAGAGTCTTCTGGTGTAACCAAGTACTGGATTGCTTACTTACATTTTGTTTGATTTGTGAGTGATCTGCTTGGCGGCACAGATCTGCTGAGGGTTTGGCTTTAATATGGGATCATAAGCTAAAAGGGACTTCCTGATTAGGACTAAGAAAGCAGAACAGACCCTCTCTCTTCTGGCTGAAACTGTATCTTTGGGGTTATTTTAAAACTGGAAGAATTCCTGAGTGGTATTCACCATTCACTACATTACTTTAGAAAAAGGTACACTTTGAAATAAAAGAGAACAGATAAAGTAATTCAATAAAGATTTTTCAGTTCAGCATTTGCCACATCACAGTTACAAATTTAAGGCGAAGACAAATATTAACTTAGCCTCACTTAACAAGTAGAATAGTAATGATAAATGGAAATATAAATTTCATCAAAGATCACACAGACATCAGAATTAGGATCTTGGCCAGTACCCTGTCTTTAATTTTATCACTAGAGAATACTTCTTTTTTAAAGTACTGCAGTGTATTCCCAAAGTGGTGTGAACCATGCTTCTTACTTTAGAAATATCATTCTTTCACCGTTTAGTATATTAAGGACTCATGATACGCATTTGAATTTGTATATTTTTCAAAAAACATTCCAAGAACACAGAATGTAGCATGATGAATTATGAAAAATATTTTTTAAAGACCATAAATTGCAAAGGGCTAGAACAAAAATGCAATTTAAAAATAACCTTACCTTAAAAAAATTACAGAACTGTCGTCTTCCTCAGGTACATACCTGCATAAAAACTGACAGATGCTGAATTACTATTCAAATGTATTCTTAAATTTTGTGAGTATTCATTTGTATTATATACTATAATTCCATTATTTAAAAGAATGATTTCTCCCAGAACTCTAGATACATTACAGATGTTATTACAGGAATTCTCACAGCAAACCTCTTGAAATAAGACAAAGGCAGGTACCATAATCTCAGCCCAAATCATATTACAGATTCATTCCAAAGTTTTAGAATTTCCCAAGAGGTTTCTATCCAGAACCCTCCCCTTTTTCCTTAAGAAAATTAAATTATGATAATCACTACTTTCTGAGCTTAACTTCTCATATTTTTCAAAAAGATTATCAGCTTCAAGGTGGAACCAGAGCCTTTTAAAATAAACTAAAAAAATTTTCAGAATGTTTTAAGAAATGAGAGTAATTTAAAATTTTAGAATGCTAGTTAAAATTACATGAACGAATACATTCAGTTTTATATCCATGTATTTTGGGAGAATTTTACATATTATACACAGAGCTGTATATATATATGTATATATATACACACATACATAATATATGGCAACTCAAACATTTAAAAAATGAACTATGTACATAAAACTTCAGGATTGCCTTTTTCATGTTTAGTTAAGGTTCACTGATAACGAAATTATTGGCTGTCTAGCATCTGATTTCTGGATAATGGAGTGCTGTTTCAGAAGTTATAAAAGTAAAATGTAAGTAGATTATTATTTTGAGCAATTTGCAAAATTTTTATCTTTAGTTTGCCAATTTAAAATAATTTTACCTAACTCTATGGCTATCCACCTTGAAAATCAACTCCAATCACTGGGATCGTGACACTTCTTATACATAAAAATAAGTACCATTTAATAATTTTTAAAGCAAGGATCATTTTTTATTGTCATTGGGATATTATGGTCAAAGCAGTTAGTAACTGGACATAATCTATAATGTCACATGGTTGTATTTTATTGCTAACTTGGGATTTTATCTAAATTTGCCTTAATAATCTATTTGTTGCTTCAAAGGAAACTTCTTAAAGACAACTATAAATTTATTAGAGTCTAGAATCTAGGGATTAGGCTACTACTGCTCTAGGTATACTGGGTTTCTAACACAATTTCTATTTCAGAAAGCTATGTTCAGCAATTGTATAAAGTTAGCCAAAATAAACAAAGTCCTGATCTATTTGATATATGATATCCAAATATTACACAGAAATGGAGACTGTGTAATAAAGGCATGGCTGTAATGAAAGTGAAAATTCTACTTTCTAGGGCCATCACATTTATTTCTCTGTTACAGTTAAGTGACTTATCTAGGAACATCACCTCTATGGATATTTGTACATTTGAAAATGAAAATATATATGTATAGTCTTAGGTTGTGTACAGCCATGCCCTGAGTGCTGAAATGTGGACACTCATCTGTCCACAAGGAACCCTCAGGCACATTAATGTGTTGGCACATCATGTTTCCCAAAAGCACATGAATGTGTATTTCAATCCTTACCAATTGCTCAACGTCACTCTAAGCCATTTTCTTTTATAATGCTAATTACCTCAGATCTTCCCAAAAGAGAAGTTCATATTTCCTTGATCACAGCTATACTCTCATTACCTAGGAAGAACCCGGAACCTTTGGAGCTTCTTGCCCCAGCAGAGCACTGCTTGTTCCTGCAGATTCATATGGGACTTGGGTTTCAAGTTCGATGATTCTTCATTGAGATACAATGAACTTATCCAAATATATTATTGTTAGCACTGGCATCTAGACTGAAACGAACTAAACTGCATCATTTCATTTTATATTAGGAGAAATCTAATGAGCATTAATTAAGTAGTTAATCATGAATACCATTTATAATAGAAATAATTCCTTTAAATATATTTTCTAAGTAATACATTTTATATCACATAAGGCTAGCAATATACATGATGTAAAAGTCATCTACTGTACCAAGATAATTGAAATATTTTGCAGATAAACTTCTTGTGCTGCTATAATTATCCCAAAGCTGTTTAAAGGGGCTCCATGCTGCGGCATGAAAGTACATTAGACAATACAGCACGATTCCTGAGACTGCAGAACTGAAATTTCTCTTAAAATTTCCAGTGTGTGTTGAAACACTAAGTCATAGGGCCTCACCTTGATACTGTGGCTTTGATTCATGTTGCTTTGAGAAGCCAATAATTTGGTGTAAATACATGTAATTTAAAAGCTTCCACAGTTATTAAAATAGTACAATCCATTTTGTTACCCATTTCCTGTCCAGGGACAAGAAATGTGAATTTGTGTTCTGGCCATGAAATCTACAGTTAGAAAAACCTATAGCTTTCCAACTTTAACAATATGACAACTTGGGTGTTTTATTTTATTGTGAAAAATATTTTAAACAATGTGTGAATACTGCTTTTTGTCATATATTTTCTTTTCCCTCAAAGTCCTCCCAGCTGGCATTCCATATGACAACTTTGGTGAAGGGAAAAACAAATTCAGCAGTCACGTGTCTGGCACCTAACACCAGACAAAGATAAACATCAATATTTAAGTACCTAAGCCTTTAAAGTATGAATAGTGTTTAATGGAAAGCTAGCAACAATATAGAATATGGTTACTGTAATTTAATAATGAACTGCATCTCTGAATATGTTTTACAAAGAATTTCTATTATCCAAGAATCCTAAAGGAAGATATTAACTGAGGTTTATGTGGGAATTTATGTAAGTCAATGCATCTAAAGGAGAACTTCTTTCCACAATCATTAAACAAAAAGTACACTTCTTGTCCAGGCGCAATGGCTCATGCCTGTAATCCCAGCACTTTGGGAGGCCAAGGTGGGTGGATCACTCGAGGTCAGGAGTTCCAAGACCAGCCTGGCCAACATGGTGAAACCCTGTCTCTACTAAAAATACAAAATTATCCGGGAATGGTGGTGCGCACCTGTAATCCCAGCTACTTGGGAGGCTGAGGCACAAGAATCTCATGAATCCAGGAGGTGGAGGCTGCAGAGAGCCAAGATCACACCATTGCACTCCAGCCTGGACAATGGAGAGAGACTCCATCTCAAAAAACAAAAAAGTACATTTCTTAACAGATATGTAAACAATATACAAAACATTATTTAATATATATTATATAATACATAAATACATATTATATAATGTATATATTTTGTGTGTATGTATACAAAATAGCTGACAATTATTTCCAAATTTTTTAAGTTGTTCAATGGATTTGGTTCTCAACACGACAGAACAGGCACCCTAAGGATCACATCACATTTCTAAAAGCACATTGATTATTCACAAAAACCTCCAACTGCAAACTTAGAGGCATCTTCAAACATAACAAAAATTTGCAGAGGCATGACACATTTGCTGAGCATGTTCTAATAAAAACACTGTTTAAAGTAGTAGGTTCCTTTTCTCAGTTAAAATTTTACATGTGAAAATAAATAAACTTTCTTCAAGTGTCATTTTGCTGTAAGGTTTTACAGGATAAGGCACTCTCTCAGTCTGCATGACCTTGCTTCCAGCCCCAGAGCTTATTGTGTACATGTTAAATTAGTTAGCATCAGCATATCACTGCAACAAATAAAAAGAAAAACTTCATAAGAGAGTGCAAGGTATTGCTCTTCAATTTTTCAGTAAAGATAGAAATGAAGAGACAAAACTAATGTATCTATTTAAATTAGAATGGATAGCCATACATCTCTGAAATAATGAAAATATGTAAACTGATCAGACTTTTGATATCAGATTTAGATGGTAGTAGACTATAACACGGACATTAAAATTCTGCTTATGTAAGAAATTTATAAGGAAGGTCAGTAACTATTTTCTTTTGATAAGACTAACCCTTCACTATTTGAATACTGAACTAAATGACAGCTTTACAAAACTATTTCAAGTAATATTCATTATCACAGTGAAAATGTGAGACCAATGTTAGAGTGAATGATTTGAAAATTCCTTTGATGAAAAAGGCAAGGGTACTAAATCAAAACATATACAAAATGCTTCAACGCATTTCTTTATGTGATATGAATAGAAAGATTATCCATACAAAGTTAGAAAAATTAAGGTAAATTATATATTAGTACACCTTCCCAATCACATTTTATATAAAAATTCAGAACAGTGTACTGTTATTTCAATCTACACCATAAAAATGCCTGGACTTGGCAGATATCTTCTATCTGTGATGTATTTTCTCAGTAGAAGGTTTATTTGTTGCAGTCACTTTTTAAAAGTTTAATTTCATTGTTAACCTTACTGAATCATCAGTAAACCCAGCTGATTGGGACCCACTGTGGTTCCATTCTCAGTTTCTCTATGGCAGTCTGTAGTTTTTCAAAGGCTTTGTCTAAATTGTCATTTATGATGATCAAATCAAAATAGTGATTGTATGCTCTCTGAATCCGTGCACTTTCATCCACTGTTTTCTTCAAGTCAGAGTCCTGTTGAAGAGTTTTAAAAGGAAATGTTTGTATTACAATGCATATTCACTTGCTCAAACTCCAACTAGAAGTGGATATAATAGGTTAGATATATTTCTTGTAATTCTGGTATTAATCTTCAAAATCTAATCCATAAAGAGTGTTAAAGATGACACTGCCATCTGTTCACGTCTTAGTCTTTCCAACACCACTCATGTTTACATTTATGAGTGTTTTGCATCTTCTGTTTCACTGACATTAGGATAAAGTTTTAATGAAAAGACTATGAATCTACGGTAACAGAATTACTGCAGGTGACCGGTTTCCAGCTCAACTGTATCATCCTTTTCAAAAGATTTTTTTTATCTTATGGTCTAGGTACAGAAAATTATGGAACTCAATTTGCAGTGGTTGTTAAGATCAAAGCCAAATTTTCCATCTCTCTTTTAAGATAAGGTCAGAGAATCTTAGAAGTGTTTTTCGAAGATTAATCTTACATGCTGCCCATCCTCCACCAAAACACACACTCACATACTTTTATTTACGTTTTTGTCCAGACCCTGTTTATATTTCATAAAGTAGTTTTAGTCATTTTGAAATCATGTGGGGAATACATAAGCAATGGGTTTACCTAAGTAAGTAAAGCTTTTCGTAAGATGGTGTTTTGAATTTTACTGTACTTCTACATATTCTACAGATATTTATTGAGTTCCTATTAAGATATCTACTATGTTTCAGAATCAGTGGATATGACAGTGAATGAGACAGAGGATTTCTATCCTTTAGTGAAGGAAATAAAGAGGAAATAAACATAAAAAAAATTGCAAGTTATGATAATTACCATGAAGGAAACAAAACAGGCACAAAGCATTTTAAGACATCTACTTTAGATAAAGTGATTGGAAAGAGACTGAGTAGTAAATGACAGTTAAGCTGAGAACTAAATGAAAATAAGGAGATCAGCATCCAGGTAGAGCGAATAGCAGAGAAAAATCCAGAGGAAGGAAACAACCGTGGCATGTTTAAGGTACTGAAAGAAGACCAGAATGGGTGAAGGGCTGGGGAACAAGGGAGGTGATAAAGGACCCCTATGAGATGAAAAAACCCCAAGGAACAATGTGACATGACTTGAGTGGAAGCAGGGAGACTGATGGCAGGAATCCAGGTCAGAGAGAAGGTGATGGTGGTAACAGAGGAGATGAAAACGACACCAGAATGGAAATTTATTTTGGTGATACAATCATCAGGATTAGCTTTTTACATCATCCAGGACTTGAAAAGGGAGGAAAAGGAATGAGTCAAGAACTGCTTTTAGGTTTCTAACTTAGGTAAATGGGTGGCTGTGTAAGATGTAGAGTTGAGGGGTGAGGAGAGCATAATTTCTGTAGGAAACAAAGTGTGCTACTTTGTAATATGGTAAGCTTAAGATATCTGTGAGACATCCAAGTGGAGATATACAGCAGGTGACCGTTATAAAATCAGAGCTCTGAGGTCTGGGCTCACTGCATATAAATCATTAGCAGAACTATGGCATAAATGTAAATAATGTTGATGGAAGCACCCAAGAATGTTATTTGTGTAGAAAGTGTAGAGAGAGAACTGGATTCACCGCTAGACCTGAAGAACCCTAATACTTACACTTCAGCTAATACTGAGATTCCTAAATGAGTTTGAAACAACTAAAATATATTTGATTATAGATGGATAAACAAGCCACAATTCAACTTGAAAGCAATCCTTGCCAATTAAAGACATTAGCAATTTGATTTGTTAAAAAACAAAGCCTGTTAACAATAATGGAGTACCGTATACCAGACAGATGGAACAGGAATAAAGATTCTCTCTCTGGCTACAGAGTGGTCTCCAGGATATAGTGGTATGGAAAAATGCAGATACATTTTGTATAGAAGCTACTGTTTGTGCATAGAGCAGAGGGAAGGCGGATACACAGGCACGCTTGCTTATATTAGAAACTAATATGGTAAAATGGCCACCAACAATGGCAGCCTATGCGGGTGGAAGGAAACAAAGTGTAGAGAGCACAGAAAAGCTAGATTTGTTTTAAGATTGATGTTGGAGTGGTACAAATGTTGTATAGAGTTATACAACAAAATTTAAATTCAAATTTAAAAAAGCAATTCTTTAAAATCAGAAGCAAAGTAAAACAAATAAACCTGTGTTTCAAGTTGGTGGTTTAACTATACAACAAGGAATTATTTCAGTGACTTTAAAAGAAAAGAATATCTAGTGGGGTATAAGTGAGAGATGAACGATAAGAACACATGGACACATGGCGGGAAATAATACACACTGGGGCCTGTCAGGGTAGGAGCATGGAGGAGGGAGATCATCAGGAAGAATAGCTAATAGATGCTGGGCTTAATACCTAGGTGATGGGTTGATCTGTGCCACAAACCAACACGGCACACATCTACCTATGTAACAAACCTGTACATCCCACACATGAACCCCAGAACTTAAAAGATGAAGGAAAAAAAAAGTCTAGTGAGATATATCCTAGGAACAATTAATAAAAGCCTGAAACTTAAAACTTTTCAATAATCATATTAATACAGATATTACTCAGAAATTACATGTGTACATGAACTTAGTTTATATTTACATACATGTAAGAGATGATGTTAGTATCATCAGGAACCAGGGTTTTCAGGATAAGAGGGGAAAAAGGCAAACAAGCCAAAAAAGTAAGAATAATGTAAAATTTCATTTGAAGCTATCAAACTGAACTAATGCTGTAAGTTTTCTAAAAAAAAAAAAAAAAAAATATTTCCTACCTCTGGCTACTGAAAAGGTTTAAAAACAATGTCCAACTAAGTTTAATGTACACCGTTATTGACTGAATTATCTTTACATACTGTCTCCCACTAAAAAAAAACAAGGACTTCTAATGGCTGGTTCCAGGTCTGGCAGAAAACGTAGAATAATCTGGAACATACTGTCATATGAGAAAGCAAGGAATCATCAAACACTACTAGAATTGTGTTAAAAAGACTCAGAAGCCAAGTTGAATAGACCCCCAGTAGCTGAAAACATAGCAATTTAGACATTAAAAAGAGTAACTTGAGCTAAATACACAGAGTGGAGTTACTTTAAGTGACTTTAAAACATAGTGACCTGACTGTATACTTAGTTGGATATACAATAAAGAGAGAAAGAACTAGGTGGGGGGTTTGGGGGTGTTCACAGTAACCATACTGGTGGTGGTTGTGTTGATATACTTATTCCCATAATGTTGTGTTTGTACTGTGGAATAAAGCAAATTAGCAATTACTTGATAGTCTAATTCCAACATTTCCAGTGTTTTTGAGAACTGGGATATTCAGGATAAGAGAAAGGAATTAGACATATAAAATAAAAATCCTGTAATCTTGAATTTGATTGGAAAATATCAGCATGAATTCATGATATATTTTCCTTCAAACATACAAAGAGAAAAGCATATATGCTACTGTCTACATAAAAAGGTCTAGCAAGAAGCAATGATCAACTCTCTGATAATGGGCACTGTTAGTATTATGGTCTTAAAACACCATTTACCCTAAAAGAAACCAAAGTGTCTTGGAAAAATGGCTGATTCCCGGCCTAGAATAGAAAATGTACAAGATGAGCCTGGAACATTTGTTCTACCAGATAGCAAGGAAGCTATCCAAGACTATCAGAGTCATGAAAAAAAAGGTCTCAAGGACCAACTAGAATAAGCTCCTATTGGTCAAAGATGGGACAATCTGAGCATCAATAAGAATAATCATCGCACAGAGTAAAGCACATCAAGTAAGTCTGAACTTACATGCTCATGAAACTAAAAACAAAGCCAACCGCAGCTGGTCGCCTGATGCCTATAGAGGCTCTTGGGCAATAAACTCATTATTCTGAAAGCTGACCCACAAAGGGACAGTATCAAACATGTATCCTGCCTTTCCTGTATGAACCATACCTCAGAAAAATCAACTACTTGATGACCAAAAGTTCTTTTTAAGAATTCTAGTTTCTAAATGTAGAAGGAATGACAAATGCAGAATACTACCACTTTGCTATCTCTAAAAAAATAATTTGTCCAAGGCAAAGATCACTAAAGTTCGCTAAAACCAGTAGGTAAATAGTTACTGGGGAACTTTATAGATCAGGCTAACAACTTCTGACCCCCCACTGATTAAACTTATAACAAAAGAGACAGCCTGACATATGCCTCATGATGTAATAAAAGAAGTACCACTTATGAATTTTTCTTTCAAAAAACCACGAAACCAACCAAAAACCTGAATAACCTGAATCTGTCTGACCAACCCTATAGAGCAGGTGTCCCCAAACTACGACCCAAGGGCCGCATGTGGCCCCCTGAGGCCACTGTCCGGCCCCCCGCCGCACTTCAGGAAGGGGCACCTCTTTCATTGGTGGTCAGTGAGAGGAGCACAGTATGTGGCGGTCCTCCAACAGTCTGAGGGACAGTGAACTGGCCCCCTGTGTAAAAAGTGTGGAGACGCCTGCTATAGAGCAACCTATCAGTTTACAGGAAATAGAAGGGATAGAGGAAACTGGTACAATGCGGACAGAATGGGTAAAATCCAGACTATGGAACATGCTGTAGGATAAATGACCTAATTTTGTTTTAACAACTAAATTGCAATGTGAAAACAGGGGAGAGGAAGGGTGGATTAAGAGGTACTAAAGGGATGTTTGCTTCTAGCCAAGGTGAAGTAACAGGCACCAGACTAACTCTCCCACCTAACAATTTGTGGACAAAATGTATGAAACAGTTTTTAAGACACCATATATCAAAATATTAAGAACAGAGATCCAAGAAATAGAAAACAATTGAAGTGAGTCTTAGGATTACCCCAGTTTACTGGCTTGAAAGAGTTTCTGGGCAGTTGATTGGGGCGAATGAGCCCAAAGGAGCCTACAGGACTCTGAGTTGAGGACAGAGCTGAGTCCATGGAGACTCAGGTGGCAAGAGTTTGCATGACAGAATGCGGGAGGGGAAGAGCAGCACAGACAGCCTTTCGAGATTTGCAGAAGGTCTCCTTCCAGCATTCAGCTGAGCACCAACCTGCACACAGGTACAATGACCTGAAGCTGAAAAGGAACCCCCAGAAAGGATTAGAGGTACTCATACACAGCCAGGAATGGTACCTATTCCCTCTTAGCCAGAATAGAAAACCTCATGACTGACAGGCCCTGTGGCAGGAGTACCAAATGGGACTTGCCTTATTTGCGGGGAATAACTGGCCCTAAAATGAGAACTGCTTGGGTCCTACCTAACTAATTTTAAAAGTGAGACCTGAAAAAAGCAAACTGTTTCCAAATAACTGCATCCTAGAGAAAAGCTCACAACGTATGGCATCCAAAAAGAGTTAGCAGGATTGCAAAGCAGCAGGAAGACACACCCATAATAAAGAGAAAAATAATCAAAAGCAACCCAGAACTGACTCAAATGTTACAATCTGCAAAGACATTGAACACTTATTATGAGAATGCTGCATATATTCAGAAAGTAGAGACTACATCAACTTGAAAAAGAACACCAATACTACCTGATTTCATGGCATATGATCAAGTACACTTGAGTGAAAGTGGTGGAGGTAAGGGTTCAGGGAGCAGGTTACAAGGGAGCACAAGGAAATGTGTGGAGATGATGGAGATGTTCAAATTTTGGTTGTAATGGCGTTCATGAGTACAAATATATGGCAAAACTGATGAAGCTGGACACGTTAGGTAGGTGCAGCTTATTGTGTGTCAATTATACCTGAATTAGGCTGGAAAAAAGATTTAGATGACATCAAACAAATTCGATGTGTTGATCTTGTTTGAATCCTGATTTCAACAAATCCACTTAAAAAAAAAAAAAACCTTGGGGAAATTCAAATAACAGACTGCATGTAGGGAATAGTAAGATATTTAATGGTATATTAATGGTATTATGTTTTAAAAGTCTATCTTTTAGATATAAATACTGAAGTATTTATGGATGACATGGTATTAAAAATTTGCTTCAAAATAATTCAAGGTGAGGAGGAAGTAGGGAGGGGTCTAATTAAAACAAGAAATTGCCATGTTTATTGAAGCCAGGGGATGGGCATATGGGGCTCATTTTTTCCCTCTTTTGTATATATTTTTAAATTTCCATAAATAAAAAAGGAAAAAAAAAAAAGGGAGAAAACATGTAATAGAAACTAAACATCAGAATACCTGACTCTACTAATGATAAACCATATAATAAACATGACTGCTAATGGTCTTGGAGCCCACTTACCTCACTAGCAAAATAAAGGGGTTCAATTAATATGTATATTTTAATATTGGTCCATTTTACTTTACAAAGGAGAGCTAAACTTTTGATTTAAATAAAGTGAACAATAATTTTCAATTAATCTAATGAATTTTTATTCTGTAGCGCCTTATACAGTAGGTTTATTTCATAAGCATAATTAGATAAGAGATGGCCAGGCATGGTGGCTCAAGACTGTAATTGCAGCTCTTTGAGATGCCAAGGTGGGCAGTTTACCTGAGGTCAAAATGAGACCAGCTTGGTCAACATTGTGAAACCCCATCTCTACTAAAAATACACAAATTTTTACTGTATTGGTGCACACCTGCAATCTCAGCTACCTAGGGGACTGAGGCAGGAGAACTGCTTGAACCTGGGAGGTGGAGGTTGCAGTGAGCCAAGACTGCACCACTGTGTTCCAGCCCAGGTGACAAAGGGAGACTCTACCTCAAAAACCAAAACAAAAAAAAGATAAGAGTTAAACATGCTCAAAAGAAAAGGAAAAATTTAAAAGGAAAATCACATGGCTAGCTCACCGTCAGAAGCTTGGTAGTGATTCCTGCATCCACCACAGCTTTGTGCATGGCACGTAACGTCTCTAACTCCGGAGCAGCAATAAAGACCACATAGGGCATGAACTCTGATGTCCTCAATACTTTCAGTGCCTGTGTAAAAGAATAATTATAAGCCAATTTATATAATAATAGAGAACCAGAATTCTACTACCTTTAGTACAAATCAAAGACTATTTGCAGTTGTCCTGTGGATTAAAGGACATAATTTAATACCTATCCCCGTTCTGTCGTTCTCATTCCTTATAGTACTTTCTTAAAATAATGATCCATTTATTTTGTTCTGAACTCAGTCTGTTCCTCTTGAACAAAGGAAAGTATAAAACAATGATCCAAAAATCAAGAGTGATGTAAACTTTTTTTATGTTAAATTGTAGAATTCTGTTAACATTGAAAAATTAGAAATAACCTCAACGTCGATTAATTGGAGAGTGGTTAAATAAATGAATATATATTCATACTATAAAGTATTATATAGCAATTACAAAGAAAAAAGCTCTATAATAACTACCATAAAAATATCTTCAAGAAATAGTACTATACAATAAAACCCCTGAAGAATCTATATAAAATTTTTCCATTTATGTAAAAAGAAACAACAACAAAAAAAACAGAAAACCCATTACCTTATGTATATTTGTATTTAAGGCATAGTAAAATGACTAGAAAGATACACAAGAAACTATTAACAATTCTTATCTCTGAGTATGGAAGTGAGGTTGGGCTGAGTGCAGCGGAGTGGGAAGGGGTAGATGAGAGAGAAACACAGAGTGAGAATAAAATAGTGTAGAGGTTATGTGTGTGTGTCAGGTAGGAGGGGGAGTGATTTTTATTTTTTATATTGCAGACTTGAGTTTTAAACTTAACATTTCTTAACACAAGCATTTATGCATTATCTAAACAGGTAAATAAATACGTACTAAGCTTCCACCATAGATCTAATCACACAGTTTCTACCGCCACCCAAGCCTCTGTTGGCTAATTGTTCAGAGATTTATTTAACTAGCTATGTACACATAATAACATTCTCTATTACCCAAAGGTAATAGAAAGAAAGAGCCACCTTTCCACCCTGACAAAACAAACAACCCCAACCCACCATCCCCTGACACACAGTGAAAAAACTCCATGGAAAACAAAATATAAAAAACAGCTTTGGAATCAAAGCAGCTTACCTGTGGGTTGACATCCAGAATGCAAGTCCGTCCAGTTTGGACAACCTCAAGAATAGAATCAATTTTGGTTCCATAGAGATTTCCTTCATATTCCCCATGTTCCAAATACTTTCCAGCTTTAATATCTGCTTCCATCTCAGATCGTGACACAAACTTGTATGCCTGGCCATCTTTTTCATCTTCCCTTGGTTTCCGTGAAGTAACTAATGTTGAGATTTTTGTACAAAGAAATTGTAAGGCATAAAAAATAAAGTACACAGGGTAGCTTAACATTTTTCTACCTGGTGCAGCAAACTAGAGCCTATGGCCGAATCTGATCTGTTTCTTATTTTTGTAAATAAAGTTTTATTGAACCACAGTCATACTCATGTTTACGTATCATAGATGGTTTCTTTCCCATTAAAATGATGTTAGTAATTGTGACAGACTGTATGGACTGAAAAGCCTAAAACTTAATTATTATGTGGCCCTTTAATAGAAAAAGTTTCTTGATATCTTAGAGGAATATTTTAAGAGGTAATCCCCAATATAAAATTTGTATCCAAAAATATGATTCTTAAAATCACTTTGAAACTAAAAATATATTTACCTAGCAGCAGAGCCTTCAACAAAGTTCTTAATTATGCTAAGTGTTAATAAGTGTGAGGCATGTTGCAAGTACCTTTTCAATTGACCAGCACTCTAGATCTTAGGAATCTATTACATCCTTTCTTTCCACTTTAACACTTCCTAAGTGCCCCAAAAGGTGAGCAAAGTCCACCTATTCTTAGTTGTGATACCAATTTTTTAAAGTGCAGTTTTACTCATAAATTATCTATCCTATAACTTACCTCAAAACCAACCTTTTCTTTTAGCTTTCTGTTTGTCGATATTCTCAATTATTAATTGTTCTATTTTACAATTCAGGGGTAGAGCTAGCCACCTCATTATTATCATAGTTTATTAACCTAACTCTACTCTGACCCGACCTATTATTTCTGGGAGAATGAGAGACTAAATAGCTCAAGTCAAAATTTAGAAATAGGAGATCCTTTTGTCTGATATTTTAGAGCTTTGAATACTTGCAGAGACACAACCCTTTGCAAGTTGGTCTGTGCTAGGAATGGTTATCATTTTTTAAACTGTTGCAAAGGTGTACTTTCTGACAACTTTGTTGACATTAGCTTTGAAGAAGAAAAGTAATTTATGAGTGTGTTATTTCAAGTTTAGCCTTCCCCTGGGCTTGGAAGGATCAGATATAAGATGTATCCTACTTCTATTAGCTAAGTAGTTGCAGAATAACTGATGGAATTATTAAGTACACCAAATTAAACTCAGAAAGTAATCCAAATAAAAGATGACAGTGTTCTGACTACTTTCAGTAAGCATAAGACAGAGAAAACTTTTTAAAGAACAAAATAAACTTCAAACTCATGCTCAAAAATAAGTCAAATGAGATCATTAGGTGTAATAGGACTCCCCTTCTCCCCTTGTTTTCTGGCTCAACCTAGAGAGTAGTCATCTTAGACTACTGTGATGAGTGTTAATATATTAAGTATCTTCGAGAATCTTCAAGATGCTATGATAGTCATCAAATTCATATTCAAAAATGTGTGATGTTTAAGGTTGCTGGAATTATTCACCAAAGGTGTACAGTAAAACTTCTAAGGCAACTTTTGACTCCCCAAATAAATGCATAATAGGACTTGGCTAAACATTGTGCACATTAATTTTAAAAAGTAGTGGGCTTTTTTTTTTTGACGGGGGGGGGGGGTGAGTCCTATTGTGGAACCATACAGGGGGATGTGCTGCTTGAAATAAATACATATATGTGCATGTGTTATCCCACCTCCATGCTGAGGGAATTTTAATTTTTAGAGAAATGTTAGTTTTCACGTGAATTTTAACTATAATCCTATTCTCTACCGACACTCCAAAAAAAACTACGTTGCCACATATTCAAACTGCTTAATATTTCAGAACAGAGAAATTAGAACATGAAGGTCTGACTGCAACTGATTCCTTAGACTTCTACACTGAGCAACTACATGATGTGATTTTTTTAGAAGTAATTTTTTCGTGATAGGCAAAATTCTTAATTTAAGCTGCTTTTCAAATAATGAAGAAACAATCAACAAAGTAATATTTCATTTAATTAAGCTCAAGATCCCAATGTTAAAGAGAAAACAGGGTTTATAACATAACCTATCTACCTAAAATATCAATGTTTTTCTATTTTATTTTAGGATCATTTTGTAATATATAAAGAAAGTTAAATTGTCTTAATATAGTAACAGAGAAAATTTTAGAAATTTGAAAATAAGCAATGTACTCCCAAACAGCCAATGGATCAAATAAGCAATCACAAGTCAAAGAAAATACTTTGAGAGTAGATGGTGCTGTCAAAGAGCACAGTTACAAGACAGTGCTCACCAGGCTCTTCCAGAGCGCCAACTGTCCAGCAGCATGTTCATTACCTTGAAAATATATGATGGGTGAAGTAAACCCATTCTAAGAAAAGGTTCTGTGGAGGGCTTTAAGCCCTCGACAATTGTCTTAAAAGCTACTGATGGGAAAAAGATCAGCGCTGTGGTGAACTCTAAAGAGCTGAATCATGTGGCTAATTCAAACGTATTAAGAGCTAACATGGATACGCTGAGAACAGGGACAAAACGAGTAAGACGAAGCAGCACAGTGAAGGGCACTGCATTTCTTGGATTCACCAACTAACCAATGAATTGCTATTTCTTCTTTGGTTTTTTTTTACTTTGGGTCACAAAGATAGGTCTCAGTTCTGCCATAGTAACTGTTTTCATGTAAGATTTAGGGTCATTGTGGAGGGAAAAAGGATTGGAACAGAATAGTTGTGGTAAGAAGCCAGTTTATTATTTTAGATCTGGCTAACTGGTGTGTTGCATAGCTGTATATTCAGGATTACAGTTTTAAAGTCTCTGTAGCCATCTACAGAGAAATGTACCACTGAACCTATTTATTAAAAAAAAACAAAAAAAAAAACCCATGCAAATCTAAAGTACTTTGAGATGAGTAACAACAAAAACACAGCAAACCGAAAACTTTTGGACACAACTAAAACATTACTTAAAGGGAAATTTATAGCTGTGAATGCCTATGTTAATAAAGAAGATCTCAAATCAATAACTTAATTTTCTACCTAAAAAAAACCAACAACAACAGAAAGAGAGTAAAATAAATCCAAAGTACAAACAGAAAGGAGGAAATAATAAAGATTATAGAAAAAAATTAGAAAGCAGAAAAAACACAGAAAATCAGCAAAGGCAAAATTTGGTTGTCTGAAAAGATCAACAAAACTGACAAATCTTTACAAAGACTAAGAATAAAAGATGGAAGACTGAAATTTCTAAAATCAGAAATGAAAAAAAAGTATTACTATGAATCTTGCAGAAATCCTGAAACTGATTAAAAAATAAAAATCCAAGTTGACCTATAACAAGTGGAGACTGAATTAATAATCAAAACTTCCTACAAACAAAAGCTCAGGGTCAAATGGCTTCATGGGTGAATTTCATCAAACATTGAAAAAATTATAACTAAGCCTTCGCATACTCTTCCAAAACAATGAAAAAGGACAGAATATTTCACAACTAATTCTATAAGTCCTGTATTATATCAAAGCTAGACAATGACATCACAAGGAATGAAAACTATAGACCAACATCCCTTATAAATATAGATGCAAAAATCCTTACAAACTACAAGCAACTGAATCCAGAAGTATATAAAAAAGATGGCACATCATGACCAAACGGAGTTTACCACATGATACAATGTTGGTTCAATATATGAAAATCAATGAATCATTATCAATAGAAAACAATAAAAACCAAAAATCATATGACCCATCAACAAAGAAAAGGCATTTGGCAAGATCTAGCACCCTTTCTTGATAAAAACCCACAAAGTAGGAACAGAAGGGAACTTCTCCAATCTGATGAAAGGCCTCTATGAAAAACCCACAGCTAAAATGGAAAGATTGAATGCTTTCTCCTTTCTCCCTAAAATCATGAACAAGACAAAAATGTCCACTTTTGCCACTTCTATTACACTATTATACATTATTCTGCAGGTTCTAGTTGAGGCAATTAGACAATGCAAAGATATAAACAGCACCCAGACTGGAACAAGTAAAACTATATTTGCAGATGACATGATTTTGTATATAGAAAATCCTGAGGAACCCACACAAAAAAATCATCATTAGAATCAATGAAGTGAATAAGGCTAAAAGACAAAGCCAATACACAAAAATCAGTTGTATTTCTATACACTAGCAAGGAACGATCCAAAAATAAATAAATAAGAAAATACTTTTTGCTATATAATAAAAAAGAATGAAATAGGAATAAATGTGACAAAGAAGCATAAAATTTGTACAATGAAAACCACAAATAGCATTAAAATAAAGACCTAAATAAATGGAAAGACATCCATGCTTATAGACCAAAAGAATTAACATTGTTAAGACGGCAATAGTCCTCAAGTTGGTCTAGAGAGTCCATATAATTCTTAAAATTCTAGTTACCTTTTCTGCAGAAATTAGAAGTTTACCTTACAATTTATATAGAAATGTCAGGAACCCAGAAGAGCCAAAGCAAGCTTAAAAAGAAAGAACAAGTTGGGAAGATTCTCAATTCCTGGTTTTGAAACTTAATACAAATATACAGTAATCAAGACAATGTGGGACAGGCATAAGGACCGATATCTAGGTTAATGGAACAGAACTGAAAGTTCGTAAATAAATCTTCACATTTACAATCAATTGACTTTCAAAAAGAGTGGCAAGACAAATCACTGGAGGAAAGGACTATTCTTTTTGACAATTTGTGTTGTGACAACTGGATATGTGCAAGCAAAAGAATAAAGTTGGAACCCTCTCTTCACATATGACACAAAACTGATCCTATAATCTGCATGTAACAGCTAGTAGTATAAAGCTCTTAAAATAAAATATGGGCATAAAATTTTGTGGCCTTGGATTAGGGAAAGCTTTGATAGTATCATATTTGATATGATACAAAAAGCATGAGCAACAAAAGATATGTAAAACTGGACTTCATCAAAATGAAAAACTTTTGTCTATCAAAGGACACCATCAAAAACATGAGAAGTCACCAAAGAATGAGAGAAAATATCAATATTTGCAAATCATGTACCTAGTAAGGAACCCGTACCCAGAATATGACCTCCTCTTACAGCTTAAGAAAAAGACCACCTAATTGAAAAATGGGCAACCAGTTTGAAGAGACATTTCTCCAAAGAAAATACATAAATGGCAAATATGTCCATGAAAAGTTGTTTGACATTACCAGCTGTTGAGGAAATGCAAATGAGAACCAAAATGAGATACAACTTTACACCCACTAGGATGACTATAAAGCCAGATGACAAATGTTGGGGAGGATGTGCAGAAACTGGAAACTTCATACACTGCTGGGATTGTGAAAGGATACATGTACAGCCACTATGGAAAACAGTGTGGAAGCTATTCTAAAGGTTAAACATATAGTCACTATATAACCCACAAATTCCATTCCTAGGTATATGCCCAAAAGAAATAGGCATATGTCCACACAAATACCTGTATACAAATGCTGACTGCAGCATTATTCACAATAGCTTCACTGCAGCGTTATTCACAATAGCTTAAAAAAAAAAAAAAAAAAAAAAAAAAAAATCCAGATGTCCATCAACTGATGAATATATAAGTAAAATGTGGTATTGTCCTATAATAGAATATCACTTAGCAAGGAAAAAAAACTAAGTACTGATACATGCTACAACACAGATGAGACTGGACATTATTCTAAGAAGCCAGTCACAAAATATCACATATTGTTTAACTCTAGCATAGAAAATGTCCACAATAAGTAAATCTATTGTGACAGAAAGATTCATGATTGCTCGTGGCAGCAGTGGGTGAGGAGGTTGGCGGGAAATGGGTACAGAGAATCTTTCGGGGATGATGCAAACATTTTAACAGCTTTTAAATTTTATAATCCAGAATTCTATTCTCAGCTAATTAATCAAATAAAGGGCAGAAAACATACATTTTTAAATACAAAGATGCATGCATTGTATTCCACGTACAAGAGGATGTGCCCCAGCAAAACAAGGTGATAAAACAAGAAAGAGAGAGAATGGGATCTCGGAACTGCTTCAACCCAGGATAACAACAAAGGGAACTAACTACTCCAGTATTAAGAGCTGGGCAGTCAGAGAGACAGCATGTCGTCCTCATCGAAGCAGAAAGACAGAGGTTTCTGAGACAGAGATCTCCAGAGGAAAACAAACAAACAAACAAACAAACACACAACTTACTGGATAAACAAGTCTTTGGTTTAAAAAACAACAAAACACTGTATGCACACACATGCATATAAAACCAGGTAGTATAAGGAAAAACAGAACTCCAGAGATCCCCGGGTCACACATGGGGAAAAGGCTGTGTAAGAAAGTAAAATTGAACTAACTGAAAATAGAGCTATCTTTATATTGGGAAGGATAGTCAGGAAATAAACAGATAAGGCCTAAACTGGCTAAAGCAGGGAAGAGCAGACTAAAGACATTACTAAGAAATATGGAACACTACCAAAAGAAATAGCAAAAAGAATGAAAAGTGATTGTTTCTCATAAGTAAGCCAGTGGTGAGGCAGGGGAAGAGAAGGGGTTATTTTTCCCCCATTATATGTCTTTAAGAACTACTTGCTGAAAATATTGGGCACATATTAATTTGATAAAAGCAAAAAACTTTTTCTTTTTTTCACAACTGCAACTTTAACATACTTTAATTACAGTGAAGGTTTTGTTTTGTTAACTACTAAACTAGGAGTTGCCTAAATTTAGTAGAATCTGAAGACTTACCTTGAAGGGATTGTAAGCAGCACATGGGGGCAATGACAAGGTTATCTCCCTAACTTTTAAGAATTTTAGTAATAAAAGTACTCACTGAGAATTAGTCCCAAAATATGCTGGACAAAACCTAAAATTCAATTAAGAGAGGGGGCGAACTTAGGCTAGGATATGACTCAAAGCAGCTTAAAGGCATTAAAATACCTAAAGGAATGCTGTGTTAAAAGGGGACTTGGTCACAAACAGAAGGAAAAAAAGGGAGTTATGAAAGCAATGTTAGCTTGTCTCCTGCTTTATTCAAGGGAGAGAACATCTAAGTTCACAAGTAAAGGCTCACATATTTCAAAAAAAAAGACAAGCGTGTATTAGTCACTAAAGTTAGACACAAATGTGTATTAGTCACTACAGTAAGTCACTATCACCCAACTCCTTGATCTAATTCCATTCTCATCAAGCATAGTTCTGACATGATTATTTAACCTTCTACGTAAGTATGCAAATAGAGAAATGAATGCAAAGACCTAAACTGAGTGTTTAGTTACCTTAATGGTTGTACTTCTCATCAGTATTATTTCATTCTATACATCAGACTTTGTAACCTTAATGCTGCCTGCAGTAAAAGGTGAATCACTCTTGATGCGTTATCAAAAATCAGGTTTATAACCTTGTACGACTGAGAGCTACAAGCCATACCACGTACATTCACACAGCTGTTGCCACACTGGGTATGTCTGAGGATCAGAAACTTTCCCTTTTTCTTTACACTAAAATGGTTGAAAAATCCAGCTTTTCAGATATACATCAGTACAAGAAAATCCTAAATGTCTATCTTGCCACAATTCTAATATATGCATTTAATGCTAAAATTTCTGAACTGAATAGCTTAGAGAAGCAACTGCCACCAGACAGCAAGCCAACAGCACTGCAGCACTATTTCAAGACAGCTGTAGAATTACTAAATTTTTCAATGTCTTTCACTTGTTCTTTTTCATTGTCGTAAAGAAAACTTATTTGGGAATAGCAATAATTAATGATAATAATCCCCCTCCTCCATACGCCCATATTCTTTCCTGCCAACTGCAAAGCAAGGAAAACACAGAAAACTTACATGGCACCGTAGTTCCAAATCTAGTGGGATTCAATACTATGAACCTGTTTTTCAAGCTTCTTCGCCCTACACCTTGAGCTCCTATCAATACTAATGTTTTTCTCTGGAAGGGAGGCATTTTGGCTACCTCCTCATATATCTGGATTTCATGACGATCAAATTCTAAACATAAAGGGAAATTGGAAAACATATTCAGTCATCTTTTATACACATGAAAATAATCTCTGCAATTCTGTCTAGTAATGGCTTAGCTGTCTTAATAGTTAAATATCACTTGACTTTGTTTTCACAAATTTGGCAAAGGACAGTAAATAATAATTATTTTATTACTGTTTATAAGACAGGGTCTCACTGACACCCAAGGTGGAGTATAGTGGTGCAATCTTAGCTCACAGTACCTTTGAACTCCTGGGCTCAAAGGAGTCTCCCATTAGATGAAACCACAGGGATGAGCCACCATACCTAGCTGATTTTAAACTGTTTTTGTACAGATGGGGTCTTGCTATGTTGCCCAGGCTGGTCTCAAACTGTTGGCCTCAAGTGATCCTCCTGCCTCAGCCTCCCAAAGTGTTGGGATTATAGGCATAAGCCACTGCATCTGGCCCATAAATTATTTTATATATTGCTTTAAACATCTACTTTCATCCATTTGCCCTTAAAAATTTGTCTAACCAAGCTAGGAAAACGGTATGTTTTATCCTTATTTATCAGAGATTGTATCCACTGAAACCTTTTATCAATTTGTCAGTAAAAATCCTTTAATATAAATAATCAAATTATAGACCAGTTTATATAAAAAGTATGTATCAAATATGGAGGACAGGAGTAAACTTACTGTAGTTGCTTAAATAAGTTCCACAGAACGAGTGACCTCCAAATTATATAAATGAATAAATATTGTATGGCAAATCTACAATTATCAGTTTGATTAGAAAATTCAACATGCTGACATTTACTGACAACATACATTTAAATATTAAGATTTTGAAATGTACATATAAATTTTAGATCCAAACGTTTTCACTAGAAACATAACCCAAAATTATAATCTTAGTGGGAAAATTACAAATTTTCTATTTTACAAAAAAGCCTTATGGGCATATATTTAATGAATAATACGGCCAAAGTAATTTGAAATATTATGACTTGTTATTACTATAACTCTCAATCTGTAATAATAACACTCCTTCCTTAGCTTATTATACTAATAGCAACTCTTTCTTTGCACAGTTTCCCCACAGTAGATTAAACCAATATTAAGAGAAAACAAGCCCACTTCTTCCTTCTATATTATTTCTTATATGGTTTGCTATTTAGTTTATTACCAACATAGAGGTAGCTCTGAAGTCAAGTAAGTACTTTTAAAATTGCCAGCTGCTTTGATTAAGCCTCGTTCTGATTTATAGAGCTGTTTTTTCTCTTGTCATCCTCTGTAACTGGGAATAAATATAGTAGTTTCCATTCTTTCCCTTCCTTCCTTTTTATTTATTTTTAATAGCAAAGGAGTAGCCAATCCAGGTCTGAGGTCTTATTTTACATTGTTTTTAAAAACATTTTCAGCTTTACTGAGGTATAACTGACAAATAGGAATTGTATTTAAAGTGTACAACTTGATGGTTTCATGAATGGGTACAATGTGAATGATTACCTCAATTAAGCTATTAAACATATCAGTCACCTCATATAGTTACCATTTCTTTCTTTTTAAAAAGATTTCTTCATGACTAATATATTTAAGAAGTAATTCTACTAGAGCAGACTAAGATTTATTTGGTCCAGTGCTATTTTTCTAAAAGTATCATGGTTAGTGTTACAACAGGATACCCATTGCCCTTAAATGTAATTTTTGTAACATCCTGATAAAGGCATTCTACCCCTTAGAAATGGCACACAAATTACTATTTCAAAATTCTCTGGAAGTTTCAATTATACTATTGCGTCTTCATTAAGACAAGCAAAAATCCTAACCAATTTGTTTTGCTGTAAACTATACTCACAAAATAAAGCACATGGTAGTATACATAATATCAAGATTTAAATAATTTATATTATATTGCACCATGTCTTCATATGCCAGCCCCTTGCAACTAGGTACTAATCTGAATTACCTTCACTTTAAACTGTATATTCAGAGTTTCCGCCACACAAAATGATACACAGTTACTTCACTTGGACTTCTCAAAAAGTATTTAAAACCTACCTGCATTTCTGGTTGTGAGATACATCATCTTTTTCTTTTTTTTGCTACTTATAGTTCCACAAAAAGGTCCTGAAGGATGATAAAACAAATATAACTTAAACAGCACGTCAGAATATGAAAAAATTGTCCTATAGTATTTTATAGGGGTGGGAGAATTATCTTCCCAATGTTGCATTCTAGGAAGCAAATGAGGATGGGGGTGAGTTAAGGCACTGAATTTTGATACTCTACCAGCAGGTGGCAGAAAGGGATTAAAAAGATTACTTATGAGAGAGAGAAAATAAAGCAGAGGGAGGGATTCATTCTAGATATATTTTAAATAAATTCATTTGCTTATTCAGACAAAAGAGACAAAGAAAGGTGGCCACAAAGGACTGCTTGTTACTTATTGTGTCGAGCTCATCACCTGAATTGTCCCAGTCTCTTCTAACAAATGCCTTTCTCTTCTCTTCCAGGAACTGGCTTGGAATGAGACCAGCACTTCCTCCCTCTTTTACATGGCTAGCCTAGAATCAAATTAATGAATTGTATATCTCAGTGACTAAAATTTGAGACCATATTCTATTACGTAGGACAAGCAGTGGTAGGTAAAAATAAGTCACATTTGCTCTTAAAAACAACCTTGTGATTTAAAACCATAGCATTGTCAGTTAAGATATTTAAACAATTCAGCACTGAGGAATCAACTGGCACCTAAAATTCTTCATATCTGTCATCTGGTAATGAAATTTGGGAATCAAAATACATATTAAGTTACAAAAACTTTTTATTTATAATACTAAGTTAGAAAAAGAAAATAAATAAATGCTATTCTATACGATGTGTGAACAGGATGTTTTATCTAGCACCCTTTAGTAAGTCTTTTACTGTCAACCTTAATCCTACTATGTCAGTATTCCAGTCCAAATCGTATGAAAAGGAGACACTATTTGGAATATAAAGTGTAGATTTTAACTTACGCTACCAGGAATCTGAATATCTCAAGAGTTTGTAAATTTAAACTAAGCGAAAGTTTACCTAATGTAAAATAGCTAACTTTTAAAGTAAGCTCCAAAGAGAAATATTTTAAAATAGTGGCTAGAGAACTGGCTGTTAGTGGTTTATCTCACAAAGTTAGTATTTCTATCCTTATAACTAGCATAGAAAATCTGGTTATCACTTTTAGCAATTAAAAATCCTGAAAAACAGAATTAAAGTAACTGACCATCAAAATGCAGGGAGACTGAGAAAATGGTGACAGGTAAGAAGATAAAACTAAGAGATCATATTCATAGGAAAAAAAAAAAGAACAAAAATAGGAATAATTTGATAAAGGAAACAGCGAGAGAGATTTTTTCTAAATGACGGATCTAAAAAATTCAGTGGAGACCTCTCAAAATCATGGATTCTGTTTAATCTACCCATTTCTTAGCTGTCTCAACACATAGTGCACTTATACATAATAATGTCTTAATTTACATTTAAGGACACATTAGTAAGATTGTTCTCATTCTGTGATTTGTTTCCCCTCAGAAGTAGATACATTTTTTAGATCTAATGTGAGTTACCAATATCTCAGTTAATTTTGGAATTCGCTGCTAAGTTCTGGATCCCTTCCTCCTACTCCTTGTTCTTTAGTAAGACTCTCATTTGCTTTGATAGTTTAAGGCACTTCAGACTTCCTGACTTGCCAGTTTCTCTAGTTATGAATATTGTGGTTGTTAGCTAATACAAACAATTACAAAAACAGACTGCTGCTAGGGGTTTCTGAAAGCTACAACATTAGGAGAAGAAAAAAAGAATACCATTACACAGATCTTCTGAAAAAAGGAGGGAAAAATGCAGTGATAATACACATCTCTTCCCATATACACAGATTTTAATCCAAACCCAAACCAAACTGATAGAGCAAACCTTCATTTCCTAGTATCTGAGAAGAAGTGAGCAAATAATACACATTAAGACCTTAAGAAATTATGCTTTACTTGCCATGACAAACAAGTGGGAGAGGAGACAAGAGAAAGACTACTTCATAGTAAAAGACTCCTCTTAAAACAACAAAACCCAAATATCTTTTGAAAAGGGATGTCCCATTTGAGTTCTTGCCGAACAGCATATTTTAAGGCAATTACCCATGTGAAAAAACCAATTGGTCTAATCCCTAAACCAATGAGTTAGTGCAAATGCTGGTTAATTCTGCATTTATTAAGAGATACTCGCAAATTCCCTCCCAATCTGATCTCACGTCTACAAAATTAGTAGCCATGAAGCAGGAGCTGTTCATGTGAGAAAAATCTTTGTAACAAATGCTAATACTAATACAAATACTAAGATTCTTCCTGAATATTCAGATATTGGCCAGATATAAGATTAAAAATAGAAAAGTAGTTGAGGAAATTCTGAGAAGCATACTAACCTGCCACCAATTTGGATCTTCTCTATTTACAATCTGAAGAATTTCTCCTTTGGAAAACTTCAATCCTGCTTCTTTGCAAGGTATTAGGTTATCATTGTATGGATTATAATCAAAATGACACTTCACAAATACCTAAAACACATAGCAGAATTAAAAATACTATAGTTATATCATTTGCCACTGATTTTTAAAAATCCTTGTCAAACCACTCTGATTTAATTATAACTGACAATGTATTTAGTACTTCTGATAATGAACTTACCTCTCATAAATGGAAGTCAAGTTATCAGAATATTAACAGATTTTGGTACCAGAAATATAAAACTTCATTTCTATTTTAACATCTAACCTTAAATCAACAAGAGTTTGCTAATCATTCTATCCCACCATTCTTCCACTTTGCTTCCATTTTTTCACTTGATTTTCCAAACAACGCTGCATAATTTTTAACGCAAGTAAATGCTACAATCCAATTAACATCCTGAAATAATACAGTTGTTGATTTAAGGTATATATTTAAGATGTATTAGAACTTTGTGAAAAGGCCCTGTAACCAAAATTAAACAATAAAAGTTCATGTTGAAGTTATACATGAAATATATTTCATCACCTTACTTTTTTTTAAATCATCTTGCTCTGATTTATATGCTCATCTTAAATTTAAATGAACATTAAATCCATTGTAAGATAAATACTGAAAAAGTATTGAAACTATTTTAAATTCATTTGTGTATACAGATTTCTTTTACATGTGTTTTATTAATAAAAGCATGTCAGTTACCACTGTTAATTATGATCTCCAAAACTTGGATTATTTTGTTTATTCATGTTAATTTAAATTCTAATTAAATTATGTATTTTTAGTATTTGATGGAAAGTTCAGACCAATTGCTTTCTTTTTTTTTTTTTTTGAGATGGAGTCTCACTGTTTCAGCCAGGCTGGAGTGCAGTGGCACGATCTCAGCTCACTGCAACCTCCACCTCCAAGGTTCAAGTGATCCTCCTGCCTCAGCCTCCCAAATAGCTGGGATTACAGGCAGGTGCCACCAGCCTGGCTAATTTTTGTATTTTTAGTAGAGACTGGGTTTCGCTATGTTGGCCAGGCTGGTCTCAAACTCCTGATCTCAAGTGATCTACCTGCCTTGGCCTCCCAAAGTATGGGGATTACAGGCATGAGCCACTGTGCCCAGCCCAACTGCTTTCTTAAAACAGAATTGTTTATAATACATATTTACAGAAATTCAAATTTTATCTTCTAAAGAACTGCCTTAGCATTAATCAGCATGTAAACTTTAATAAGCAAGAAAGTGCATAGTCAAAATAACAATGTTATTTTTCTATTTATCATACTTTTCTAACCAAACAAGATTCAAATAACACAAGTAGATAGATTATTAGTGTAGTAAAAAGTACTGTAATTGATGCATACAAGCAATTTTAAAATAACAAAGTCTGGGAACATATAATAAAATCGTAGTTAGTTATAATTAGATGATTTTCATAGAAAGCATTCAGAACATTTTCAACTATTCTAGAAAAGCTAAATATTAATCCTTAAAAAAATCAGTAGGTCAATAATTGTTTTCCTGATATAATTTTAAATCTAAAAAGCAAGCATACAAACAACAGTAAGATTACTAAAGTGCAACAAGTGGATAACCTGATGATGTCATGCAGCTCCATGTTTTGACAATGGGGGCAAAAAACCAAAATAATTAAATTTAATCACGGGAAATTTAGTTGGCTGATAAGACAGAAAAATGAAGTACCAAAGAATGTTCTGGAATGACATCATACCTGATGGATGTCTGCTGGATGCCTCTCCATACTGATGTAACTCTAAAAATATATTTGTAATGCACTTTTAATTTATAATAAATTAAGAAAATATAAACAAACTACTAGCCCATTTTATTACTTCACTCATTTGGTAAAGCAACTACTTTCCTAATTAATTGTCCACAAAGTATAATACCTGCAAGCCATAAATGATAGAACAAAAAGTTAAAGGTACTGGAGATCAGGCAGAGAAAAAGAGTTGGTATTTAAAGTTATAAAAATACCTGCATACTCCTTACTTCTCAAGAAAGATGCACTGATTGAAGAATAGCAAGAGAATACTGTCATCTAACCACGAAGATGATTATCATTCTTACGTGTGGAACAGAATATATGTTGGACTTCACAAGATAGTCCAAATTTCAAATATTCATTTCTCCAACATCCATCAAATTGTTCTGGAAATGCCATTTTTTGTGGAAAACAAACCATACCCCTCAAAGGTAAAATATTTTTAGAACAATTTCTATTTTTCTTCATTTATTAAAGTAGTTTTACAACATTACTCTTACGGTCAAAAACTCAGATTAACCTGACTTTACTGTGAACTTTAAAAATTTGTCTGAAAAACTAACCCAACCTCTGATCCAACCATTTTATAATGACTCTAAAACCATTAAAGATATGCTAGATTTAGTATGATTATACTTTATTAAATGCAATTTAAAGTGTTGCACTTATAGGCTATGGATGTTAACTGTTCATTCATCATTAAGAAATGACTAAACACTATCTAATAAAATATTTCTATTTCACATTCTTATTACTATAAAGAACTGAATGACCAAAACAATATAAAGTACAAAGACAAGGAAGTAGAAATGGCTTTTAAGCATAGGAGATGTTCAACAACCTCACTTAGAAATACAAATTAAAACTATTTTATAACATTTTTTCCCTATCAGATTAGCAGAAATCCTTGTATTTCATAACATTCCTATAAATAGAACTGTGGGTTAATAGGCATTTTCCTAATAGGCTTGTGGAAGAATGGTTCCACCTCTTGGGAGAACAATTTGGCAACACAAATGCATAAACCCTCTGACCTAGTAATCTATGTCTGCGAATGTATCGAACAGCTATGTTATGCAGATACATGCAAAATGAGTTATGCACAAGATGATTAACTCCAATGTTATTCCTAATAGCAAAAGATTGAAAGCAACCTAATTGTTTAACAAAAGGGAACTTTTAAACAAATGATGGTATGTCTACATGATGTGGACACTATACATAGTCATTAAAAAGGGGTGTGTGTGTGGGGGGGGGGTGTAGCAAGTCTACGCACCAATAAGAAAATATCCTCAAGATACATGGCTAAGTGAAAAAAATAAGGTTCAGAATAGCATGTATACTATGCAAACTTTCTATGAAAAAGGAGGTAGAAGGTGAAAAAGGATATGTAATTTTTATTTACTTGCATATGAAGAAATTCTGGAAAGATAAACTAATAACATGTTGGCAAAGAAGGTTTTTACTTGCTGGGGGATGAGGAGTAGCTTGGTAGTGGGAGGATTTGGAGGGAGATTTCGACTGAATACATACTTACATTTTTTGATTTTTGAATCATGGGAATGATTCACTTATACAGAAATTAAAATTTTAAGGTAATAAAAATAAATGACTCCCATTTTGCTTCAGATGAAATAACAAGGACCCTCCAACCTGAAACAACTAAAAACTGTATTAACAAAATATATGAAACAACGTCTTTCAAGATGTGAGAGATCAGGCAATGAAGACAGTGACCCCAAAAGATGGAAGAAACGAGATGAGCTGCACAAATGCCCCAGCTAACTGCACAGAGAGCTTCCAGGCTGCAACTCAGGAAGAGAGAAAGGTGAAGCCTGGTAGTCTCCAAGTTGAGGAGATGAACTGGGAGACCTGGGAGATCAAGGTGGTTACAGTGCATGGAACACAGTATCAGTGAGCAAAGACTGCACAGAAGAGCATTGTGAGGGACTCCCTGTTTCCAGCTGAGTACTTAACCAATGCATGTGTAAGAAGCAGCTACCTGCATCCTCTGTGTAGCTCTTTCCTCAATGGTGGTAAAGAGTCATTTGAAAGCATTATAGGGAACAACATACGGAGGTTGTATGTAGTCAAGAACAGTTTCTGTTCTCGCCAGGCCAAGTAGAAAAACCTTCATAATTCATAAGACATGGGGTACAATACTTAGAAGGGTTATGAGCTAAGCTACATCCTGTAATCTTACCTAATAAATCTTAGAAAGCAAGATCTAAAAGAAAATGCAAAATAATTTAAAGTGAGAAAAAGCAGAGCAGTAGTTTCCTGGAGTTGGGGGGTGGGCAGAGCAAAAGGGAGCAGGAGGGAAAGATAAGTGGACACAAACAAAGAAGCCGGAAGGTCAGGCGTAGTGGCTCATGCCAGTAATCCTAGCACTTTAGGAGGCTAAGGCAGGCAGACAGCTTGAGCACAAAACTTCAAGACAGCTTGAACATGGTGAAACCCTGTCTCTACCAAAAAAATACAAATATTAGCCAGGCATGATGTTGCATGCCTGTCCTGAAGTCCCAACTACTCAGGAGGCTGAGGTAGTAAGATTATCTGAACCCTGGGAGGTTAAGGCTGCAGTGAGCTGTGATCATGTCACTGTACTTCCAGCCTGGGTGACAGAGTGAGGTGCTGTCTCAAAAAAAAAAAAGAAAAAAAGAGACACAAATAAATTTCTGGGAGTGTTCATCATCTCAACTGTGATTTATGGGTCCATTATGTATATCCAAACGTATCAAATTGTACATTTTACATGTTACGTATATAAACTTTATCTCAAGGGTATTTTTAAAAAGTAAAAGGAGTAAAATTATTGAGAATATAAATATCGCACAGCAATACACTATGCTTATGCAAATGATAATAATTAACAGAAGAAAAGAAATTAAATGGATGAAATGGCTAGAAAAACAGCTCCACCTTGGCCCTGATGTTAAATCAGAAGGTGGCTAGTAATTCTTTGTGAATGTGTTGGCTAAACATGGTGCAAATGCTGCTTACAGAACCTAGTTCTTAAACCACAGTTCCAGGCCCATCTGAATCTGCATTTCAGACTGAGTGACAAAATGGTGAACAAGGTGATCATCATTGCTGAGAGATTTTCTATTTCTAAACTTTTCTAAACTTTTTCAGTATATGAACTTGGTCTACTGGGTTAAATACAGATGTACACACACATTTTTGAGTAGCAAGATAAGAATATATGTTTGGGTTAAAAAATTTTGAAGTGCAATTCACATTCCTTTTTGATAAATATCTGAGAGCCATAAATTCAAGCCTCAAATAAAAAATTTTATTTAAAAAAAATCATACAAAAATTAGCCAGGTGTGGTGGTGCACACCTGTAGTCCCAACTACTTGGGAGGCCAAGGCAGGAAAATTGCTTGAACCCGGGCGACGGAGGTTGCAGTGAGCCAAGACTGCGCCACTGCACTACAGGCTGAGTCACAGTGCTAGACTCTGTCTCAAAAAACAAAAACATAAAAACAAAAACGTACTAACCTAGGCCTGAATTATACTAATCATAATTCTTAAGCTTTTATCACTGGTTCATGCAAGGACTGCTTTTATTGATTTAATTAGTTTTAATAATACAATAGCTATGCACTGGCCACCTAAAACCAACATTAAAATCCTACTTGATTCCCGTGCCCTCATTCCATCCCATCCCATCATTCTGGTTTCCCCAACCAAGGCACACTTCACCCTGATTCTTCGGTTCAAAAACTCCTTACTTTTCATTTTGTGCATAGTTTTACTGCATTTATATGTACTCTTTAAAATTACCTATTTAGTTATTTTAAACTTAAAAAATAGCATCATGCTATCTGCATGTAATCTTTGGAGGTTTACATGCTTATTAACATGTTTCCAGCTGAACATACATAAGAATTGCTCTAGCGAATTATTGCCGCTTGATATAGGTGAATGTTGAACTCTAAGAGATACTGAACATTTTCCCCCAATGTGTTTATACCAATATACACTGCCACCAGTGTAGAAAAAATGCTGTAGATTCACAGCTATAATTTTTACCAACTTAATGGTATAAATGATATATCATGTTATCATTTTTAATTTTTTTATGTTTACTGAACATATGTCCTCTTTTACTTGATTTTTCTATGTAGAGTGAAACACAATTTCAAACAGTATCCCTAAGTGTAACCAGGTTTCTCCCATTCATTGAATCATCTCTCCTTTCCACACTGAAAGACATATCTCTTTCATATATCAAAGTAGTATGCAAGTATAGGTCTCTTTCCGAGCTCTCTGAAAGTCCATTGACCATGCTTTCTACTCCTATGCCACCAACACAATATCTTAATTCCTACACATTAATAATAATCAAACCCCATTCCTGCTTTTTGGACTCGAGAGTGTCTTGGCTATTCATCTTACTGAATTCTATGAAAAACTCTGATGAAATTTTGACTGGAATTCCATTAAATCTACAAGTAAATGTGTGGAAACTACATCTTCACAATATTGTCTTCTTATCCATGACATAATATACCTGCTTATTTAGATACTCTTTATAATTCTTTTGTGAAGAGGTCTTGATTTTTTTTGGTTAGATTTATTCATAGACATAAATGTGGCATTCTCTGACTCTACTGTAAATGACGTCATAGTTACATTTCTAGACGTTTGCTGAGGCATACAGAAATGCAACTGAGTTTTGTGTCTTAATCTTATTTTCAGGTACTTGGTAAACTCTATTATTTCTAATAAGTCGTAGTTTTGAGGGGTTTTTACGCAAAAACTCATATTTGTAAATAAGAAGTTTTACTGCCTCCTTTCTAAACATTTTGCTTTTATAATTTATTTTTATCATACTGTACTTATGGACCTTTCAAGAAAATATGAAATAGAAGTGGTGCTAGTGAGCACCCTTTCCTAGTTTCTTTCTTTTTTAACTAGGCAAAAGCTTATTTATCATTGTTTTAAACTATTTCTGGCTTCTTTGGCTAAGTAATTGCAAATAAATAACTATGTATAATCAATAATTTAAAAGTAGCAGTGTCCAAGGGCCTTGGAATTTAAAGTATCATAAACTTACATCTTATCATATATGAAACAAAAATTTTAAAAGCAGTTAAAATTCTTGAAATTTTATTATTTTTTAGAAGCCAAATCAATTCAGTTTGCCTCACTGTTGAAAGCTTCATCAAAATTCTGAACAAGATCACCCCTTCCCCAATAGTAAGTGGTACTTTTCCATCCAGTTTCTGCCAGTTTCCTTAAGCTTGTTGACATTAAGCTGTTTTAAGACACTGGGTGGCATTTCTGTTAGATGCTTTGTCTCAGCATGGCTGACAATGGTAAAAGTGTTTGCTGCTAGACATGTCTGAACAGTGAAATTGTTCATGTGGATCACCATTCCCTGGTTTGCAAACACACCTCTTTAATATCAGAGATATTGCTTATTCCTACTTTCTTTAAGGAGAACTAAAGATTTTTTTTAAATCATCCATTGTAAGAGATGTTTGCTGTATCATCTGAGGGCAGTTCCTTTTTACCAATATGCAATTGTGCTTGAAGTTTGGCAAGGTTTTCTTGGTTTATGAAAGTTTTTTGTTCTATAATGAAAACCAAAGCGGAATTTCTTGAGAGGAAATCAAAGTTCATGGGGTACTGGGGTTGGCACTAGAGGTCTCAGGCAGACCAGCTGAAAGGCCAGTTTCTGACTTTAAAGGGAAAGCTTCTAACATTAGTTAATTCAGAATAATGTTTGTTCTATTTTTTTTTTTTTTTTTTGGTTATAAAATTAAAGAGTTTCCCTTCTGTTCCTAATTTACTAATCACTTTTTAAATGATTAGTATTTTATCACTTAAATACTTTGAATTTTATCAAATTCTCCATTGACGTTATTCTCTTTTCACCTATTAGTATGCTTAGTTACATATGGATTTTCTAATATGAGACTTTCCTAGCATACCTGGGATAATAAATCCCACTTGGATATGTTGTCTTATCTTTGTTATATACATAATCAAATCTGATTTGCCATTATTTCATTGAGAATTTTTAATGTATATTTTCTTACATATAAAAAATATATTACAGGACTGTTGTCCAGGTCATGGTGGTCCCAAAGATTAAGAGAGAATTCCATCAGCTGGCCTTAAACAAATAGAATTATGAATAGCCTCTGGGAGTGTAAGCTATATGTAATTTGAAGAACTTCAGAACTGGTTACTTCTAACTCACTCTGGTCCTCAAAATATAAAACATAGATACTTATGTCCCATAGGAGATTCTGGAATTTTAGCAAGCACCTCAAATGATTCTGATAAAGATAATATACTGACCATGCTTTTGAAAAACATTACCGTGATAGGGAAGAGTTCTTGGCTTGCATTTGCTTTCACAGCAATCCAGAGCTGAGACACGCTCCACAGCACTACACAGTGGAGCTTTTAGTAACAGCTGAAGAGGCAAAATGCCCTTGCTTCCCTGAAGCATCTTACTAGGATGCCCATGGTTTGCAGATGCCCTGGTTTATGCCTATTACTCCAGCATATGAGTAATATTCCCCTTTTCATTTTTTTTTTTTTAATTAAAGTCTCAATTTGGATGTTCTTTTGAAAGCCTTCATGTTATAGTTCCTTTTCTTCTTTATGGAAGGACAGGCCTGAGACTGCCCCAGGCTTGTATGACTCCTCCTCTCCTACTTTAATTCCTTCCTCCAGCTCTAAATACTAAGTGAAAAGCAGAGTCTGATAGGGTACAGAATGAGGAAAACCTATGTTTAAACCAAGTCTAAATATCCTTGCATTTCATGATATTCAGTTAGTTCACCAGATGCAAAATCTATGTAGGAATTTGGGCCAAAGCTCTAGTTATTAATATTACAAAGTTTTATTTTGCATGTAAGTCTATTACAGCCATGGTGAACTAGAGGAATTCTGGAGTTTGGACCAAAGAAGGAAAAGAAAATCTTCCTACTTTAAAATACATAAATACTTGATTTTACTCTTCCAATCTATGCAGGTTACAAGATAAGGCCTCAGGCTGTCACAAACGGAAATGTGCCAACTGAGGAACAAAGGTAGCTTGAGAGGTGCTAGTGATATGAAATGTCTAAGTACCAATATCATTTATTTTTCACAATTCTTTTCCTTAAGGACAACAAAACTACCTTTATTTCAACCAAAGTTAATTACAAGCCTATCTATTTTCAGAAGTTCAATTTACAGGCTAATATTCATGACTAAATAATCTATCCTTACCTTTGAAAAAAAAAAACAGTTTAAAATAGGCATTCGATGAAATGTTATTTCAAATAACTGTATGGAAATGTAAAAACTAGACTTTTAAACTCTCATTTTAACAATATGAAATAAAATACACTGGCAGTAATTTATGTAAGAAAACTTACAATTTCATTCATACATCAAACACATTTCTGGAATAAAACTGAACATTAGAGGTATTTAATTCCACATTATTTAGGTTTGAAAACCCTCTCTTTGGTTCCAACACTCCTTTCATAATTTTCAATTCTTCCTCTGCAATTATGTTTTTACTCTTTATTCCTTTACAGTTCCATGTTACCACCATTGCCTCATCACCAGAGTACAGCCACTTCTTGAGAGCTCACTATGTGGCAGGTGTTGCTGTGAGAGCATTACATGAATTAACTCATTTAATCCTCATAACAACCTTTTGAGAAAATAAATTTTATCCCAAACTATATAGATGAGAAAAATGAAGCACAGAGCAAGTTAAGCTGATAACCGGCAGCACTGGTATTTGAATCTAAGTGGTCATCTTAACCATTCATCAGAGCTGTTGTTCAATAATCACCTCACATCTTCAAAAATCTGCCATCTGGTTACATAATCTAATTTCTCTTTTTGAAATCACTTAACATACCAAGGCCAGACAATCTCTATCACTAAAACATTTTCTTGTTCAATTACTTATTTTACCTAAGATTAGTTTTAAAATACAGGCCAAATGTGTGCAAACCAGGGGTCCAAGATTTCCTTTATACTCATTCTCTTTTCTGGCCTCATCAGTCATTTCACTCTTCACAAACACTAAGCTGGAGGTGATCTGGACTGGATTTTTATCCTCTCCCAGGGCCTAATACAATGCCTGAACATAACAGCTGTCAGAAATGTTTGCTAGATTCATAATTAAAAGACTTTATGGTTTGTCTGACACCTAGATGTAGGTTTCTGCTATGCCAAGGTTCCTGGTGTTCACAAAGGAATTTTCTTACTACTTCCTTTATAATAGTAAACTACTACTGTTTAAAACTTCAAAAATTCACCCACAACAAAATCAGGCATTTTAGAACAAATCAATTGTTTTTCTCTTTCCTTTAGCAAAATAGTAGCAAATGACAGTTATAGCCAACACTGCCATTAAAAACATTAAAGTATTTTTAATACTATCAAAAATTTGATTACTAACCTGCTGAGGAGTAACGGTATCTCTGTAACTTGGTAAGATTTTTAGGGTGACACTTCCACTAATATTTTTCAGTAATTCTTGTAATTCCTTTGGATTGTTTCCAACCTCATGACCATTGACTTCTTTAATTATATCTCCCACATGAAGCAGACCTTGTCGATCTATCATTCCCCCATGAAGGATTCGGGCGATCACCAGATCATTATTTTCAACCCTAAATGTCACACCCTGCAAGAAATAAGAAAGAGATTTCTCATTTATTAGGAAGAAATGCTTAAGTATTCATGAACATATGTAAGAAAATAATCCTAAAACTAGGCAAAATGAATCATTCTTACTTTTCCCATGTTCTCTCCTGTCTCAATATTTTATTCCCTTTAAACTGATAATTAGTTATTATACTAGTGGATAGGATGTATCTTACAGGCTAAAAGGAAACTCAAGAGAGCAAGAAAAGGTATTTGTGCATTCTGATGGACTTATTCCTGGCTTTTCCTTTTTGGAACTCATTTTTTTTTTGTTTTTTTTTTTGTTTTGTTTTTTTTTAAACTTAAGACTTCAGGAGCTTATAGTTCTTATAGTCACGACCCAGAAGTAATAATTTTACCAGGAAATTGTAAACTTCATACTACTTAGAGAGTCCTAATATGGCTTCAATTTTTAATAACAACTTCCTTCTATATTTTGATACTATCAGTATTTCTTTAAAGAGTAGTTCATATCTTCAAAGCGTAGAAACAAATGTAGTAGTCATCTTCTGAAATTTTTTGCTACCCATTGCCATACTTCTAGCTCCATTTAACTTTTCATTTTGGTTTAATTTTGCAGGTTAAACCAAGTCAAGAGAGCATCAGTTGTGTCTATAAACACAGGCCAAACAAGAATACAATTTTCATAACATTATGAAAAAAAAAAAAACAACGAAATAGAGTAGTGACTGAACCACAAATTGTATCATATTTCAGATTTAATAGAGCAGTGATTTTTCTATACTCACCAATGGTTCCCCAGCTCTTTTGTGAATACCAAGAATACGAATGGCATCTACTGGTAATAACTGATTATTGACAGAAGAATTATTCATTTCTGGGCTTGATGGAGGTGAATCATAACACTTTGATGCCACAATATCATGGGCCTCCAACAGTGACTAAAGCAAGTCAAAACAGCCTGTGGTTATTTATAATATGTTGATAAAACATGTTACTGAAAGTACTTTGTTAGTTCATTATCCCAATGGGGTACTACAAATTTCTAAGGCACATAGTATTAATTCCCAAATATCAGGTTAATCAAAAAAATACATAATTTCTAAGAGATATAAAAATAGTTTTATTATCATCAACTAATATTATATTCCTTGTTTGGGATGTGCAGAGTGTGACAGAGTTTAGCAATGCTTTTTAAAAGCTGGCAAGTTCACTGGAAACTGAACCTAGGTTTCCAGTCGGATGCAATGAAAGCACTGGATTTCATTGCCACTACTGTCATCATATCATTCAATATTCACCATCAATTCTACTTACTAAAATATCATAAAAATTCAAGTTCAAATGACACTTTAACCTAGTATTGCTGTTAGTAATATACTTTTTATACATACAAAATGTCTGTTAAAAGATGCCCAATAGAAAATGGATAAATATTAGCATATCAGTAACAAAAAATTTTATATTACCAATGAAGGTTTTAGTTTAGAAAAGGAGCTTTTTTTGTTTGTTTGTTTGTTTTAAGGAAAAAAGCAAGTCAGTAATAGTCCCAAATATATTTTTTACCTCTTTACTATGTATGTACTATTAGCATGGACAGTTTTGATCTAGCTTTCTGGGAATTTCTTAATACTAAAATATTATATTTGTTTCTTATTCTAAAATAATAATTTTTAGGCAGGGCACAGTGGCTCACACCTGTAATCCCAGCACTTTGGGAGGCTGAGGAGGCTAGATCACTTGACGTCAGGAGTTTGAGATCAGCCTGGCCCACATGGTGAAAGCTCGTCTCTACTAAAAATACAAAGTATTAGCTCAGTGTAGTAGCGCATGCCTGTAAACCCAGCTGCTCAGGAGGCTGAGGCAGGAGAATTGCGTGAACCCAGGAGGCAGAGAATGGAGTGAGCTGAGATCATGCCACTGCACTCCATCCAGGGCAACAAGAGTAAAACTGTGTCTCAAAAAAAAAAAAAAAAAAGTAATTTTTACTGCAACTATGCATATTCAACAGAAAGCTAAGTTAAACATTCTTGGGGGGCTGGATGGAATGCAAGTTCAAAAACAGTAAATCAAAATAGAAACAAATATTAACAGGTTCAGAATAAAAGCAATCAGGATAATTGGTCATTTCATAAGACAATTTGTGAAAGACTGAGAAAAAATTCAATAAAAACAACTCACAAATCCCTATGTAGAGATTCTTCCTATAAATGCTGGAAGTTACTCAAAGCTCCAACCTGGGCTGCTTAGTTTTCCACCCTATATCCTCCTTAGGGAGTATTATTTACTCCTGTGACTTGAGCCACTACTTACACATTGACACACTGAATTTTATGCCTCTAGTTCAGAACTCACATGTGCTTCAGATTTTACTAGTAAAAACTTTGCCCATAACTGGTCAAAGTCATGGCAATTTGAAAATCAAAAGTAAGAATTGTAAAGGATTTAAACATTGAATAAAAAATCCATAGATCCACAATGCTATTTTAAAACATAGAATGAAAAAACACGTTACCACTTGAAACGGAAATTTAACTATTCACTGTGAAACTTAGTAAAAGGATGAAGTACATTCCTGCCTCTTTAGTAGGAAATGCATTATAGGGTAACTGAGCAGCCCAGTTGATGAGAAGCTCAACATTACGGAAGAATACTAGCTAATAATATAGAATAGAAAAATGTCATTTTGCAAGCTCTAATGAAAATGCTGATTTGCAACCTAAAAGCTACAAAAAGATGAGAAATAACAAAAATCAGAGCTGAAATGGAGAAAACTGAGGCACAAAAAAACCTTTCAAAAAAGATCAATGAGGCTGGGCACAATGGCTCATGCCTGTAATCCCAGCACTTTGGGAGGCAGAGGTGGGTAGATCACTTGAGGTCAGGAGTTCCAGCCGGGCCAACATAGTGAAACCCTGCCTCTACTAAAAACACAAAAATTAGCTGGGCATCGTGGCATGCACCTGTAGTCCCAGCTACTTGGGAGGCTGAGGCAGAAGAATTGCTTAAACCTGGGAGGTGGAGGTTGCAGTGAGCCAAGATTACACCACTGCACTCCAGCTTAGGCAACACAGTGACTCTGTCAGGGGGGGAAAAAAAAATCAAGGAATCCAGGAGTTGGTTTTTTGAAAAAAATTAATAAAATAGGCAACTAGCTAGACTAATAAAGAAGAAAAGAGAGGAGAGCCAAATAAACACAATTAGAAATGATGAAGGGCATGTTACTACTGACCCTACAGAAATAAAAACAACTATCAGAAACTACTACAAACACTTCCATGCACACAAACCAGAAAACCTAGAAGAGATAGAGATAAATTCCTAGACATAATACAACCTCCCAAGACTGAGCCAGGAATAAACTGATTCCCTCAACATACCAGTAACAACCTCTGAAATTGAATCAGTAATAGCCTACCAACCAAAAAAGGCCTGAGACCTGATGGATTCACAGCTGAATGCTACCGGATGTACAAATAAGAGCTGGTACCATTCCTATAGAAAAGCTATTCCAAAAAACTGAGGAAGAGACTGCTAACCAACTAATTCTATGAGGTCAGCCTCATCTTTATATCAAAACTTGGCAGACACAGAAAAAAAGAAAACTTCAGACTAATATCCTTGGCAAACATTAATGTAAAAATCCTCAAGCCAGGCATGGTGGCTCACGCCTGTAATCCCAGCACTTTTAGAGGCTGCCTGAGCTCAGGAGCTCAAGATCAGCCTGGGCAACATGGCGAAACCTCATCTCTACTAAAATACAAAAAAATTAGCTGGTCATGGTGGTGTGTGCCTATAGTCCCCGCTACCTGGGAGGGTGAGGCAGGAGGACTGCTTGAACCCAGGAGGCGGAGGTTGCAGTGAGCCGAGATTGTGCCACTGCACTCTAGCCTGGGCGACAGAGTGAGACTCTATCTCCAAAAAAAAATAAAAAAATAAAAAATCCTCGATAAAATACCTCCAAACCAAATCAATCAGCACATCAAAAAGCTAATTAACCATGATCAAGTAAGCATTATCCCCAGAATGCAAGGTTTGTTCAACACTTGCAAATCAATAAATGTGATTCATCACATAAACAGAACTAAAGACAAAAATTACATAATTAGTAGAGCAGAAAAGGCTTTCAACAAAATTCAACAACCCTTCATGTTAAAAACTGTCAATAAACTAGGTATTGAAGGAACATACCTCAAAATAATACAAGTCATCTATGACAAACCCACAGCCAAAATTATACTGAACGGGCAAAAGCTCGAAGCATTTCCCTTGAAAACCAGCACAAGACAAGGATGCATTCTCTGACCACTTCTATTCAACATAGTATTAGAAGTCCCAGCCACAGCAATCAGGCAAGAGGAAGATATAAAGAGCATGCAAATAGGATGAAAGGAAGTCAAACTATCTCTGTTTGCAGACAACATAATTCTGTATATAGAAAACCTCATAGTCTCAGCCCAAAAGCTCTTCCAGCTGATAACTTCAGCAAGGATACAAATTTTGCAGGATACAACAATCAATGTACAAAAATCACTAGCATTCCTATACACCAACAACAGCCAAATGAAGGGCCAAATCAGAAAGGCAATCCCATTCACAACTGCCACAAAAAGAACACCTAGGAATATAGCTAACCAGGGAGGTGAAAGATCTCTTCAATGAGAATTACAAAACACTGCTCAAAGAAATCAGAGAAGACACAAACAAATGGAGAAACATCCCATGCTCGTAAATAGAAAGAATCAATATTATTTAAATGACTACACTGCCCAATTTAGAGATTCAATGCTATTCTTATAAAACTACCAAGGGCATTCCTACGGGAACTAGAAAAAACGATTTTAAAAGTCATATGGAACCAAAAAGAGCCTGAATAGCCAAGGCAATCCTAAGCAAAAAGAACAAAGCAGGCAGCATCAAATTACCCAACTTCAACCTATACTACAAGGCTAGAGTAAACAAAATAGCATGACAGTGGTACAAAAACAGCAACATAGACCCATGGACCAAATAGAAAGCCCAGAAATAAGGTGGCACATCGACCACCATCTGATCTTTGACAAAGCTGACAAAAACAAACAATGGGGAAAAGCCTCCCAATCCAATAACTGGTGCTAGGAAAACCATCTAGCCATATGCAGCAGCTCAGCCCCTTCTTTACACTGTACACAAAAATCAACTCAAGATGGACTAAAGACTTAAATGTAAAACCCAAAACTATAAAAACCCTGGAAGACAACCTAGTCAATACCATCCTGGACATAGGAATGGACAAAGATTTCAGGACAAAGAAACCAAAGGCAATCACAACAAAAGCAAAAATTGACAAATGAGATCTAATTAAACTGAAGAGCTTCTGCACAGTAAAACAAACTATCAACAGAGTAAAGGACCTACAGAATGGGGAGAAAATATTTGCAAACTATGAATCTGACAAATGTCTAATATACAGCACCTATAAGGAACTTCAACAAATTTACAAGTTCTTTGCCCATTAAAAAGTGGGCAAAGAACATGAACAGACATTTCTCAAAAGAAGACATATATGTGGCCAACAAGCATATGAATAAAGCTCAATATCACTGATCATTAGAGAAATGCAAATCAAAACCACAATGAGACACCGTCTCATACCAGTCAGAATGGCTACTATTAAAAAGTCAAAAAATACCAGATGCTGTTAAGGTTGCAGAGAAAAGGGAACACTCATACCCTGTTGGTGGGAAGTATATTAGTTCAACCATTGTGGAAAACAGTATGGAGATTCATCAAACAGCTGAAAGCAGAACTCCCATTTGACACAGCAATCCCATTACTGGGTATATACCCAGAGGAATATAAATCTTCCTACCATAAAGACATGCACTCAAATGTTCATTGCAGCACTATTTACAATAGCAAAGAGACAAAATCAACCTAAATGCCTGTCAATGACAGACTG